AGATATAACAAATGTTTCCAGTAGTACTACCTCATTCTTAAGTTCATCTAGCAATGGTGTTAGCTTCTCTTTGGCTGGACCTATTTCACCACGCACATATAAACGGAGTAGCAAACCAAGAGCATTCACGTACACCTGAAGGCATGATAAATTATTCAGTGTCTCAGACGTCAATATCTAGGAAAAATAATCACCAATTATATTATAATACCTCCGCTGGCTCACAATCACTTCTATCGAGTTCCTTCATGATGTTTTGATCATATACCTCCATAACTTTACTAATAGGGGCTTCGGCTTCCAAGTAACAGACTGCCACATGCCACCAGTTGTGGGTAAACCTACAAGGAAGAAGGAAGCAGATTTTCTAAGAAATCACATTCCTGATTTTTTATTTGCATCACTAGAAAGGGTATCAAGTGGAAAACTGCATACATAAATGATGAGCATGATGTCCATGATGGAGAACATGATTCCATGAATTCAGTGGCTTCTCTGAAGCGACATTCCTGCTGGAAAACATGGCACATCTGCAAGATAGAATGTAGGACATAGCTTATTTTAAAGATCGTTTTGTTGCTTTAATATGCACAGGCCAGCTAGTAAAACTCGTATGCTAATGTAAGTTATCTTAATTTAACAGCCCTTGCATGAGGAGAATTCACTAAGGTCATACAGACAGACATATCTCACCATAACAAGAAAATTATCATGACTTCCCTTTCACAAAGAAAGTATTCAATATCATGTCTTCCAAAGAAATGAAAATGTAAGGACGTGGACCACAAAGGATCAACGTTAAGAGAAAAAAGACCATAGCATCTGAATGAACTCACTGATTAAGCTAAATGAAACTGATTGTGTCATATTTGTCCAAATCTTAGTGGATCAGTCCAAAAATTTGAACAATGGATTTTTTTAATGAAACACTGGGTCATGGTCCTTTTCTCGAAAAAAGAAACAGTCCAAGAACTACTTGGGTATATGTGCAGATCCTGCAAGAAAAACCTCGCTTGGCAGAGTTTGCAGGACAGCAAAGCCTCCACACTACCAACCCTTGGTGCTGTGCAACACATCCCTCCCCTATAAGTTATCCAGGGTCGTGTTGCCTTCTAGTCATCCTAAACTATCCCATGAGTACATCTCGATCAAGTAGGGAATAAACCATTTTGTTCCCTGGCATGGGATTTAACTGTAACTTAAGACTTATGGATAGGTCAACTGTTTTAATCAGCTAGTAATCAGCCCTGGATTATTATTGAATGTTCAACGATAGACATGAGCCTGGTATTCAGTTTTATTAGGACAATCTGTACTAAGTATGAAAGAATTTCCAGTGGTAAGTAAGGCGAAGGACTTGTGAAAGGAGCAGAGCATTAAGTGACAGTATAGGTGCTAATTGCTATTGTATTCATTTAGTTGAAATTGTATCAAGTGACCCTGGCCTAGAGGAGGATTTTAACATCTTGATTAGCAGAGTTTGATCTCTATCATGTTGCCTAGTTTTAGTTTAGTTATGGTTATAACTTATTTAATCATCTCCTCAACAATCATTATTTTTGTTAGTGGTAATTTGTTCTAAGCTAACAAGTCTAAACACTGGTTCTCTGCATATTCGATACCTCAAAACACGCGTACATTATGCTGTGACTGATTAGAAAAACGCTTGATGCTATTATTCGGCAGGCAACTCCTGCGGCTGATTTACTAAATACCCATGTCACCAGGTACTATATAAGGTTCATACCACTTACAGGTCAGCAACTACATGTAATCACCAAAGCTAAATATAGCCAAATCACAAATCATCCACATACATTATGCTGTGACCAGAAGTCGTTCTTGTTTATAGCCAAGCCTTTCCGAGCAGCTATCTCAGCTTCGTCCATTCTTCCGAGCTCTAGCAAAGGGAAAGCGAGCATGCCGTATATATAGTTCCGATCTTGGTTCTCCGGCAAAACCTGATCAGCAATGAGCGGCATGAATCAGTCAGAAAGAGTACTTACTTGGTACAGTAGCATCTTCATACGAGGAGCTGCTTGATTCAAAACTTCTGCGTTGGGCCATCAGCACAGCCACACAATTTCTAATGAGTATGGTAAAATGCTGTTACGCTGTCACTGGGTTTCATTCAGTGCAGTGGGCTACCTACCCTGATGCTAGAAAACAGCAGGCATACAACTCCTTTGAGAAATCACTAAATTTTATTTCACTGGAAGTTTTCTGTGGGTGCTGTTAAAAATTGCTTCACACAAGTGCCCCCAATGCACGAAAGAAACGGCGTTACTACCCCTGGGTTAAATATGGAAATTGTAAGCACAAAATCACACCTCTTTGTGGTAAATACTGAGCTTACTTGTTGAACAAATTTGAGGGATGTGTCCGGCCGTCCGACGTAGAAGCAGAGGAGCTGCGCTCTCTTGAGGGACATGAGATCCCTGGGGAACTCCTTGAGCAGCTGTAACACACAAGAAGCATGCTTTTCATCAGTCAATTGGCGGCCGCCGCTTCCAAATCGGCGCGAGAAATCAAATCAAGCCGTGAGAGCGAACCTGGAAATGCCGGTCGATGGCCACCTCCGTGTCCCTGTCCTCGCCGAGGAGCGCCGAGAGCGCGCGGAACACCGCCCGCTCGTACTCCGTCGCCTTGCCCTTGTTTGAAGCAGACGAACAGAACCAGCGCAAGCACGCTGCGGGTCAACGGAAGGAGGAGGATTCGGAAGCGAGAAGGAGCGAGGGGGGCTTTGGGCTTACGAGGCTGTCGGCGGCGGCGGCGAGGAAGGCGGCGGCCCCGGCGCGGTCGCGCGGGCCGACGAAGTGCGCGGTGTGCAGCGCGGCGAGCGCGCAGGCGGGGTCGGCGGCGGCCGCGCGGAGCACGGCGCGGCCCCGGCCGCGGCCGAAGGACATGGTCTGCGCGTAGTAGTCGTCCAGCGCCGCCGCGCAGTCGGCGGAGGCCGTGCGGTACTCCTGCCCCCACATGTCCCTCCTTACCTCCCCCTCCGCCATCTGCCGCCGCCTTGCTAGCTCGTCTCCGCTGCTGCTCCGGTGGGTGGGTGCTCGTGGGAGTGGGGAGGAGGAGGGGGGTCGAGAGGCCGCGTGGGAGTGGGAGTGGGAGTGGGGCTGGTTGTTGCGGAGGCGTGGCGTGCCACCGCTGGCGACGTCCACGTCCGTGCCTCGTGGTGGTTCGGCGGTCAGACGGCAGGGGTGGGGGCGCGTGTTGCGTCGTCCCGCGCGTCAGTGGTTTTGGGATAGTGATTCTCCCGATGCGGAGTCGCCTCGCGGCCGCCGGATGCCGACGCGGCGGCACGCGAGGGCCGGGGAGGAAACGATGGCCGGTGGAAGACTTGTTTGGACTCTAGTACTACCAGTAGATTTGACCTTACAATGGGTAAAAGAAACAGTGACAGTGATGATTTTCGAGTGAAGTCTGATTTAAACCTTGAGATCACGAAGCTCATTGAAAACGAACCTTCGTCTCCAGCTATCTGAAGTCCCTCCATAATCCCATCCATTTCCAACCTTACGACAAGATCACCCGCTTGGCATCGAAAAAGGCCGGGATGGCTGTTTTAGGCACCACCTATTGGTGGGTCCCACAAAATCGCCTCCACCTCTCTTTTCTCTCCTCCCGTGAGACGCGTGGCCGCCCGACGACGAAGAAACCGGTGTCGCGCTGCGGTGTGGGCGATGCGGTGGCCGGTGGGACACGCGACAGCCCCAGGGCATGCAAGAGTTGGTGAGACGACCGACAACTCGCCGATGTAGTGAAGCTGATGAGACATAGATAACAATCTCAACATACAGAATCTTCATCAATAAAGCACTAAACATCAACTCCCCCAAGCAACAATTTAACACCGTGAAGTGGTCTCGACAACAGATCCAAGGAGATATTTCATAGATTGAAAAGCGGGTGGAGATGGAGATGGAGATGGTGCTAGTGAAGATTGGAGTTGGTGATGATCCTCCCCGCAATGAACATAGTGTTGGTCATATTGATGGCTTTGATTTCCCCTGTCCGGAGGGGAATGGTCCCGGCAGATCAATCCTTCGTGAGGGAGAAGTGCTTTGTTCTGTTTCCGCCTTGAAGATTGTGGCGAAAAATTCATGTGAATTAAAGGCACATGTTTTAGGGTAAAATATGACAAGTTGCACCGGAGAGAGGCAAGCGTGCCATGTGGGCCCCACGCGCCCCTGTCTCGTGGCCCAGGTCAGGTCGTGTAAGCCCCACATGCACCTCCCCGGCTTGGGTCCGGTGCCCCTGGCTCTCTTCCCATGAATTTTAGACTTTATGTTTTTCTTCTTCTGATTTTCCAAGCTCTGAATAACTAGTTTCTTTGCTGGTATTATTAATGGTCATCTTTTCGTATTTTTCTGACAATCCCCTCCTTCGTTGCTACATGAAAATTAAGAAGACAAAGATATAAGAATGATGTGATAATGTGTAAAATATGGACAATTTTGAAAATTTTGTGATAAGAAATAGTGATGTAAAACAAACGCATCCATCACCACCATCCAGACCCGCCACAAATATTTTTTTTCTAAAAAAAGGTACACAACATGTAAAAAAACTCGGGGTTGCCCCTCACCTTAGGTAACATAAGGCAGCCAGAGACGAGTGGGACGTGTGAACCAGCTTATCCATCTGCCTTTAAATCAAGGTCTCATGGAGACTTTTTCTATACACAAAAAGTAGGTCCCATGGAGACTTAACCCATTATTTGACATCATGGAGACTTAATCCATGGTTTCCCTTTGTGTAAGGTGATTTTTGTGTGCGACTTGATCCATGGTTGCCCCGTCGTCGCCTTCATCCCGCCCGTCCATCTCCGATCCAACGGCCCGTGTGCTCCTGCCCCAACGGTTGGTGCCACTGCCACTGAAGTCTTCAACCGCGGGCTCTCCTCCATCTACCCCGACAAAAAAGAAAAATCCCCATCAATAAGCATCCCGCCGCGGCGCCAAGATCCAAGAAGCATCACAGGAAGAAGCGGCGCCATGAACCTTGGGCACGTCGAGGAGGAGGTCGGGAAGCTCCGGGAGGAGATCCAGAGGCTCGGCCAGCAGCAGCCCGACGGCTCCTACAAGGTACGTGTCAACGAACCGGTCTCAGATCCGCCGTCTCCCCCGCGTCCTGCCTACCCCGATCTCGACCCCCATTCTCTCCACCGTCTCACGCCGGCGCGCGCCGCCGATCGCCCGATGCGGATTCTCGTTCGCCCGCCATTGCCTATTTTGCTGGATCCCGTGGCGATCTCTGCGGATTCGTCCGTCTGAACGAACGAATTGCTGGGTTCTGAAAATGATGCGTGCAGTGCAGATCCATGATCTGTACAGTAGTTCTGAGCCTCAAATATGTTGGGGCAAATCATCTAATCCCCCCACCCAACTTGTTTGGGACTGAAAGGCTTTGTTTTTCTTGTTTTTGTTGCTGCTGCTGAAAGACCAGTAGCGCAGGGTCATGGAACATAGCTGGTGAAACCCATTAGCATTCTAAAACATAGCGAATGGTCTGGATAACCTATAAGCTGATGAATAGATCGAATCAAAACCGTAAGACGAATTCCCCCTACCGTGCCTGTTGGACGGAATTTTACAAAGTATAAATTTCCCTACTATTGTTGCTGTATGATGTGTTCAGTATGATTGTGTTCAGTATGGCGTGCTCACATTTTATCCACTGGACGCGCACCGCACATGGCACTGCTTTATAAATAGAGGTCTCTGGATAACTGACAAGCTGATGAATAGATCGAATCAAAACCATAGGACGAATTTCCCCTTCTTTGCCCGTGGGACAGAATTTTACTACTGTATAAATTTCCCTATGGTTACTGTATATTCAGTTCGATGTGTTCACATTTTATCCACTGGACGCGCAGAAACCACCAGCTCGCCGCACATGGCACTGCATTCTGATACGCAAGGGGATGGATGCCCTATTGGCAATCAAGACATCCACTACAATTTTATGAGAAAGAAATTTACAAACAATCACTGTGTAACTGCGCACTTTCTCCAGAATTTTCACAAGCTGCGGCTAAGTTTTCCTTATAACACTGTAGTACAGTTTTATCTGAATGTTGACAATTTCAAGAAGATGGTTATGTTCATTAAGTTGCTGTTATAGCCTGCTCATAACTGAATGAGATTAGACAAGAACATGAAAAATGCATTGCGCCGTCTAATGAGTTTTGCATTCCCATTCCAAGTGCCAAGTTGCCCAGCATTATGTCATGTTGTAGGCTTCAGTCACATATTCCCTTTTGTTTCTTCTTTCTTGATCATGTAAGGTTCTAAAGTGCTTTCAATGGTTTAAAAGGGCTCGTTACTGTGATTTCTCCATATTCCTATTTTGTGACAAATGCTAAATTAAGTACTCCCTCTGTTCAGTAATGTTGGTCGTTTTTGCCATGGTCATGAGACTTAAGGAATACCCTCAGTTAATCATCATTTCCTTCTCTTAATCCTAGGTCCTCTAATTTTTTTCTTAATTCTGGTGTGCTCTCTCCAAGGAAGAGCATTAACAGGAGAAATACTCGTTAATCAGAGCAATGCCAAAACAACACACTTGTGGACTCGATGAGATGCCTAAAACCATCCTTTTACCTAGAAAATGTAAAACGACATACACTTCTGGACTTGATGAGATGGCTAAAACCACCCATTTTGCCTAGAAACTGTAAAAAGATATACGCTTCTCGACTTGATGAGATGGCTATAACCACCCCTATCTCTGGACTTGGGATGGAGACTTATTGTGTAGCACGTTGCCCTGTCAATCACATATTTTTTAACTTGCCTCAGTCTTTAACTCTTCATAAATTTTGACATCAAAACAGAGAAATGGACACAAGAATACTTCAGTCAGTGTGACATCATTATTGTAGACTTCATAGAGCTGCATAAATCTTGATGTTTCATGCTTATGCTGACATGGCATATTCTTAAAGCACAACACTGCAGCAGGCAACTGAACTCATGATTCAAAGACTTGCTAAATGCAGTTCTTGTTTCGCTGAAAGAGTTATGTGTTTGTGAGTTCTAAACATGCATCCTATTAGTATCGTTGTCAATGCTTGGGCTTGTAACACAGAAACTTATATGATTTTACAGGAACCGTAGAAACTTATCCATGAGAAAGTTTGTAGTGCAGCTTTCCTGCATCTTGTGTACATAATCAATGGATTTCAACTTGTGTAATTGAAGTATTGTGGTTTGCAGGTCAAGTTTGGTGTCATCTTCAATGACGACCGATGCGCAAACATATTTGAAGCATTAGTTGGCACCTTGCGGGCCGCCAAGAAGAGGAAAGTTGTCACCTACGACGGTGAAATGCTTCTGCAGGGTGTTCATGACAATGTGGAGATAACCCTGTTCCCTCCCCCCACGGTCGCTGCCACTTGAAGTTTGCAACACCGGCAAGTCTCCCACATTATTGTGTCAATCTGCTTGTAATTTGTTGTGCTTAAATTCCCATGAACTGTTTGGTGCTCAGAAGAGTACTATTGTGAGTGAACTCATGATCTATGCAATTGCTTTGCTCTATTGCTTGCATGGTTGTTGAAACTCAGTGCTGATGTACTGTGTTGTGAAACATAGAGCGACAAGCTCCAACTCTGAAGTAAATGGCCACCGTGTTATTGAGAGTGTACTTCACATTGCTTGTCTGACAATGACATCTATAGTACTGTGCACATAGCTCCAACTTTGGAGTACTTTCTTTTCTTTCTTCACACCATGTTATATAAATTGTGAGAGAGCTATACAGTGTATGTGCAGTTGTGTGTAGAGCTATATAACTAGTTTGTTTTGGTAGTGTGGAGTCACTCTTTCTCTTCATACTTCCTCCGTCCCAAATTACTTGTCCTAGAAATTGATAGAAATGGATGTATCTAGAATTAAAAATACGTCGGCGCCCTCCTCTCCACTGCTGCCACCGGCTCGGCCGCGATGCTGGCGGCGCCCGTCTCCGAAGGCAACATGGGGAGATCCGCGGTGGACGCTTCGCTGGGCGTGGGCGTGAGATGCGCCGTTCGTGGCGGCGACGCTGGTGCGTGCGGGCTGCATTCACCTGCCTCCCGTGGGAGTGGTGGATGCATGGCCGGCGATGGCCGACGCGGACGAGCCAGATCCGTGCGTCCTTGGCTGCATCCCCGCGGTGGATCTGGCCTGGGCGCCTGGATCCGTGCGGCCGGCTACATGCGCCAACGCGGGGTTGGTGGATCGTGGGTCTTGCTGCACGCGGCCGGGGCTGGTGCTGGTGCTCGCCGACCAAGTGGGTCGGAGCTCCAGGCGCAGCGCCACTTTGATCTGCCGCCTCTGGGCGTGATGGTGGCTGCTGCTGGAAGAGGGGAGAGTGTTGGGGAACGCAGTATATCAAAATTTTCCTACGATCATACAAGATCTATCTAGGAGATGCATAGCAACAAGAGGGGAGAGTGTGTCTACGTACTCTCGTAGACCGAAAGCGGAAGCGTTAAGTAACGCGGTTGATGTAGTCGAACGTCTTTGCAATCCAACCGATCAAGTACGAACGCACGACACCTCTGCGATCTGCACATGTTCAGCTCGGTGACGTCCCTCGTACTCTTGATCCAGCTGAGGCCGAGGGTGAGTTTCGTCAGCACGACAACGTGTTGACGGTGATGATCAAGTTACCGATGCAGGGCTTCGCCTAAACACTACGACAATATGACCGAGGTAGAAAACTGTGGAGGGGGCACCGCACACGGCTAAAGATCAACATGTGTGTCTATGGGGTGCCCCCCTCCCCCGTATATAAAGGAGGGGAGGAGGAGGAGGGCCAGCCACAAGGGGCGTGCCCAAGGGGGGGATCCTACTCCTAGTAGGAGTAGGTTCCCCCCTTTCCTAGTCCTAGTAGGAGAAGGAAGGAGAGGAAGAAGAGAAGGAAAGGGGGGGGGGGGCTTAGCCCTAGTCCAATTCGGTTTGGGCTAGAAGGGGCACGCGCCACACCTTGGGCTGCCTCCTCTCTTCCACCATTAGGCCCATGAGGCCCAATAACTTCCCGGAGGAGGTTCCGGTAACCCCCGGTACTCTGAAACTTATCCGAAACGACCCGAACCATTTCGGTGTCCGAATGTAGCCTTTCAATATATGAATCTTTATGTCTCGACTATTTCGAGACTCCTCGTCATGTCTGCGATCATATCTGAGACTCCGAACAACCTTCGGTATATCAAATCACATAACGCATAATACATATCGTCATCGAATGTTAAGCGTGCGGACCCTACGGGTTTGAGAACTATGTATACATGACCGAGACACATCTCCGGTCAATAACCAACAGCGGAACCTGGATGCTCATATTGGTTCCTACATATTCTACGAAGATCTTTATATGTCAAACCGCACAACAACATACGTTGTTCCCTTTGTCATTGGTATGTTACTTGCCTGAGATTCGATCGTCGGTATCATCATACCTAGTTCAATCTCATCACCGGCAAGCCTCTTTACTCGTTCCGTAATGCATCATCCCGCAACTAACTCATTAATCACATTGCTTGCAAGGCTTATAGTGATGTGCATTACCGAGAGGGCCCAAAGATACCTCTCCGACAATCGGAGTGACAAATCCTAATCTCGATCCATGCCAACTCAACAAACACCATAGGAGACACCTGTAGAGCATCTTTATAATCACCCAGTTACGTTGTGACGTTTGATAGCACACTAAGTGTTCCCTCGGTATTCGGAGTTGCATAATCTCATAGTCATAGGAACATGTATAAGTCATGAAGAAAGCAATAGCAATAAACTATACAATCATAGTGCTAAGCTAACGGATAGGTCTAGTGCATCACATCATTCTCTAATGGTGTGATGCCATTCATCAAATGACAACACAAGTCCATGGCTAGGAAACTTAACCATCTTTGATTAACGAGCTAGTCAAGTAGAGGCATACTAGGGACACTCTGTTTGTCTATGTATTCACACATGTACTAAGTTTCTGGTTAATACAATTCTAGCATGAATAATAAACATTTATCATGATATAAGGAAATATAAATAACAACTTTATTATTGCCTCTAGGGCATATTTCCTTCAGCTTGGTGGGGCACGGTGGCTCGCATTGCATCCGGTGGCTCTGCGTCCGGCCGGCCATTGGTGGATCTGGCGTCTAGTGTTGAGTTTGGTTGTTAGTGGTCTCTGTGAGGTGCGGCTGGCTGAGGCAGTTCGTCGTGCTTCTTCATCGATGGAGGGTTCAACGGCGGTGGTGGTCGGCTGTCGTCTTGCTGTAGGGATGTGCTCAAACTCCGGGTGAGAACCCTGCATCAGCTCTGTTGATGCAGGTGGCAGCGGCATCTACGGACGTCGTTTTCCTTGTAGGAGGTATGTCGTGGAGCTACAACACCTACAGTTCTTTGTTTGTGGTCTCCGGGTAAAAACCCAAGATCGGGCTTGCCGGATCGGATGACAGTGTTGTGTGCTCGACAACACTACCTCCTTGGAGGCGTCGTCTTGGAGACCCAAACAACGACTTCTGTTGTTGTGTGTGGTTGTGGGTGGTGCGTTTGGTGGTGGTGGTGCGGCCTGCTCAGGACCGAGGATGGTGTGTTCTTCTTCAGGTGTTTCTCTTCGGCTGTCCTACGTGTGGTCTCCGGCCTGCTACTATGCATGCTCATGACCTTGTTCTGTTGAGGCGAGCTTCGGGCTCTTGGTCTCGTCTTGGTTCACCTTTGCTCAATGACGATGCAATGACGCCTCCCCGACTTGCTAATCATCTTGAACTTTCGTGGCGGAGCGCTCAGTCAAGGTTCGTGTTAAGCTTTGGCAGAGGGTTTGTGTTAAGCTTTGGCACTCATTGATTGTGGATGCTCCTTTGTTGTGCCGTGGGGTTTGATACGCACGCCGGTGCGGTGCGCTAGGCTGTTTGTAGAGTCTTGGTATTGTGATCCCTCGACGCACCCCTCATCTACCTGGTCCTATTAGTATGCTAGCTAGGTCTTGCCTTATGTTGGGCGTCCTGTTCCTCTCCTTTTCTTGTAACACTTGTTACTTGTCTGGTTTTTGGCTCGGTTTTCCTCAAAAACGGGGTCAATTTGTTAAGGTTTTTGATCCGGTTTTCCTTATAAACTGGATCACTCTCCTAACATTATGGCCACTTTGAGCAATATATTCAGGTGGAGGGACTCCTCCCCCGGTGATTCTCAAAAAAAATGTTGAACACGATCACAATTTTGTTAGAATTTCTACAGGTTAAGATTCTACCAAGTAAAGACTCCTTCTAGGATAATTTTGAGAGGCTCCATACAATGTTGAACATGATCCAGTTAATGATAGGGTTGTATGGACTAGATTGAGATTCTGATAAAAATTGGTCTTGTGGCCAGTGACCACAAACTTTATCTTATTACTGACCATATATGGTACAAGGACTTAGGATACCAAGAGTACGGATTACTATCAGAACAAACTAAACACTTTTGGCCTTCAGCAAAAGGGGAAAGACATTTATCTTCAACAAGTATTGTTCCAATCTTCTACAAACTTCCAAACACAAAGTCGAGGAAAAACATAAGGATGTAGATGGCTAGAGAATGCGTTGCAAGTCTAGTGTTCCATGTTTTTTGCATTTGAAAATTGGTTTGTGCATAAGGATGGGAGGCATAATAATGCACATGCAAGTATCAAGATGACAGAGAACACAAGACTTCAGACAACAAGTCTGTTTGGTTGGTGCCTAAATTTGCCACACTTTTTGTATCAAATGTGTTAGCAAGTCACAACTTTTGTAGGGAGAAAATTATTAGTCACACCTGTGGTAAGACTTGGGAAGAAATCTTATGTACGATAAGCAGGATAGGGTGCTAATAAATCATGGCACACCACAAGTGATCCAATTTAAGAAGCAAACATTACACCACGAGCGTGCAACATGCCTAACATGGGTGGGTGGAAGGAATTCTGCAAGTTAAGAGCTGGTTCCAATGTGGCCCAACAGATAAATTTTGTGATTAAAAATAAATAAATGTCTAGCAGTTTCCTAGCAAGAGATCCAATGTTAAAAAATTCATAGCGATCCACAACATTGCGATGTGAGGTATTACTTGTGCATTGTTCATATGAGCATCTGAAACAACAAGTCACAAACATGGCAATTGGTGAAGTCCACCTCAAAAAGGAAAACCACATCTGGTATCATCTATGGTTTAAGCATGCAACAACTAACATGATTAGGGGTTTAAATATCTGGGGTAGGCTTGTCTCTAGGGCTTAGTATGAGCATAGCTTCGGGAGACGCCTTTTCACACGTTGCCAACTCTTTACATGCTTCCACGTAAGCTTTGGTTTCTTCTCCATGGTTGAAACTGACAAAAAGGTATTCAAGCAGCCCTGCTTTTGATAGCAGAAACTTCATAAACCACATGTCATT